GAGAGCTGCGTAACGCTCACGTCTCCGGTCATCTCCAAATTAGTGCCACCGCCAACTGTTTCCTCAACTCCTCGTTTTCGTTCCTACGCAGCTACGCGGCCTATCTGGAAGAACGAGTGGGATGGGCCATTACACAAGCCGGGAAACTCGAACCGGTTATGTTCAACGGCCTGGAGTTCGGATGTTACGAGGAGAAGTCGATCGACATGGTATTCCGTAAGTTGCCGAAATGTCAAGACTCAAGAGTTTTTGGACAGGGTCTTGGATTGTTTGCCGATTGATATCGTGCCGCCGGCAGACAACTTGGCTCAAGCAACCATGGCGAACACCTTAAAAGAGAGCTTCCAAGTTTACATTATGCACTGCGAAGGCATCGAGATTCTCATCAACATGTTCTTCGATTTGACGACGCCAGCCAGAACTTTGGCCTACTCAAGAGGGCTTCTCGACAAGGCAAAGAGCTTGCCGATCTGTACGAAACGTGCAAACGAGTGGTCGAGAACAAGAACCTGGAGTATCCCGGTGTGCAGATAATCACCATGGATCATGTTTTGGCATTGGAACAATGCTCCTGCCTTATGTCAACGAGTTCGTCTATGGGTAAACAAAGCGAAAAGTAAGGGGATGAAGATGATACTAGTTCGTCGTCGAATCAATTCTCATTCAGTCTTGAAACCAAAATAAGCAAAGTTTGGGTTGTTTTTGACGAAGATTACGGTGAATTGCTGGTGCCTGTGGATATTGTTTAATGGCCTTTGTCAACGCCATTGTAGTGTACTCCAAGAACAAAATAGTGACTAAAGATTGATGGTAGAGAAGCTCAACTCCATGGATTCTCTGAATCAAATGGAGATGAATTTTAACATTGTCCTCCAACAGGAGGTTAAATCTTGAAGATGATGAACCCACAGCAAGAAAATCACAAAAAGAAAAATTATCAGAGCTTTTGGTAGGTGCTTGCTAGTTTCTGGAGAACAATATGTTATTGAACTTGATTCGTTACGATAATTTCATCAGAGTGAAATCTATAATTTCATCAGAGTGAAGTCGTTGTCATGTGTTGTGAATGGTCCTTCGAGTTGCGATAGAAACTCATCTTTTATGGAAAGTATCATGCTTTGGTTTCATCAAGAAATCCCAATTTGGATGCCAAGGGAGGTCATTTTCAGTTTTGCAATAGATCATATCAATTCTCTTACAAGTTCGTATACTATAACTAAAAGTTTATTAGTTGGTGGTACAAGAGAGTATTATTCTACTTAGATTTTAAGTTCGAGTAAATGTCAATAGTTAAAGAAGATTTTAAACCAATATTATCTTATAATCATGAGAAAATTATTTAATCATATTTAATATATATATATATATATATTCTAATCTGTTTATTATACAACACAAGATTCTTAATCTTGAGGTCGTGGGATCGAGTCCCATGGAGGGCATTTCATAATTTGGAGGTCTCCTACGGAAGCTACTTTCAACCTAGTGTTGAGGGCATCATACTATCTTACCTCTCCCTTACCCCATTACATATGGGAACAGGGGACAACCATTTTTTTTGTTTATTATACATAAATGTTTGTTTTAATCCATTTATTTAATAAAAAGGAAATTTTAGTCCCTAAAAATTAATATTTTGATCCAAAGTTTTAAAGTTATAATTATACGAACTAAATATTTTGGTTTAAACATCCTTGATATCTACGTCAATTTTAAAATGAGAAAATAATCTCAGTGACCAAAAATCTCATATAATATACGATTTTAACCAACTTTTTCCGGATTTGCCAAAATGACCAACAAAATCGCAATGCGATCGCTAATTCGCAACGCGATCTCCATTATCGCAAATCAGTTTCCAAATTCGCAACGCGATTATGACTATCGCAATGCGATTTTCCAATTTCGCGTTGCGATTTTCCCAATTCGCAATGCGAATAAGTAAATCGCAATGCGAATTTGGAAAATCGCAATGCGAATTTGGAAAATCGCAATGCGAATTTGGAAAATCGCAATGCGAATTTGGAAAATCGCAACGCGATACTGACTATCGCAATGCGATAATACAAAATCGCAACGCGATACTGACTTTCGCAACGCGATACTTACTTTCGCAACGCGATACTGACTTTCGCAACGAGATAATACATAATCGCAATGTGATTTTCAAAGCGCCATTAGTATCGCAAAGCGTATTTTATTTTCAAATTCCAAACACGAATATTAATATATTGGAACACTGAACCGTCCACAGTATATCCCGTAATCGTAACTCATAACCTAAAACCTAAAATCACAACTCAGTCCCATCTCCATCTCTCACTCTCTCACCCATCTCCGACGAAATCTGTCCCCATCTCCGGCGAAATCCGTCTATCTCCATCTCTCAGAGCCACGCTCACAATCAGAAATGGAAAATCAACCAAATCAACCACCGATGGTTAATTTTTTTAATTATTTTCTTTTTTAAATTTTTGCATTATTATTAGGTTTTTCATATTGAAATTGATGATAAGTTTACTGGTAATTTCAATAATAGATTAACCATTTCACTTAGATTGCTTATTAAATCAACCGAGAATCGCAACGCGAAATGAAAATCGCAAGGACAAAATCGCAACGCGATTTTATTCTCTCGTTGCGATAGTCAAATTCGCGTTGCGATTGTCATTTTCGTGTTGCGATTTCCATTTTCAGAAACTATTTTTCTTCTGCAAATTGAAACTTGAATGAATTGCATTACTTCAACAAAAAAACAAAGACAAATAAGAAATTCACAGTGTTACAAATAATAGTATATGATAGCATGATAAATTACATATCACTGTCTGATTTGAGAGATATTATCAAGGGATGGAGCTCTCATTTGGCTAAATTCTTGGATAGGATTAATTATTGGACTCATTCTGGACACAAGAAGCCAAAGAAGTTCAATGTCACAGTTGTCAGAGACGAGACCGCGCCACAACAATCACCGAGAGCCAGAGGGGATTGTGGTCCTCTCGTATGCATGTGCTTGGCGCGTTCGACGACGGGAAGCACACAGTTTCTACCTCCCACCGATAGAGATAGAGCTGCAGTAGGCTTGTGGTTTCGACATTATATGGCTAGAGCGATATATTCGAGAGGCTGCCTACCTGCATCCGCGTTATGAAAGTATCCATTGTTAATTGGTAAGTCAAATGCAAGTTTTGTTAACATATATACTCCTTTTGGTTTGAAAATGTTTGGTTAAGTACCTAGAATTCAATAATTTGCTGTTTGTAGGTTTTAGATGTGTAGGAAGTCTTGTTTGAGCAAATATTTGGTTTCTGCAGGTTAATCCTTAAGTGAGCTGCGTGAAATGGATGTACGGGTGCAAAAGTTGATTCATTGATTCAATAATTGATGAGGAAATAAGAATTATTATTATTTTTTGATTGTTTAATTGATTTGTAAAAAATGATTTGTAAATGTTGATTTGTTTAATTGATGTGTACATAATTCTTATTTGTGCTTGTTTAATTGATTGAAATGTAATAGTTGATTTGTTGATTTTCAATCTGCATTATGTTGAAGGCAAAACAGACTATCGCAACACGAAACTGACTATCGCAACGAGAGAATCGCAATGCGAAATGAAAATCGCAATGCGAAATAAAAATCGCAACGAGAAAATCGCAGTGCGATTTTCATTTCGCATTGCGATTTTCTCGTTGCGATAGCCATTTTCGCGTTGCGATTTCCCCGTTGCGATAGTCAAATGAATGTCTAATAAGTGATAACAACTGAACAGATCATAGCAATGTTCAAACTCAAGTTACTAATACATGCCTAACTGAAAATGTTAAAAGTGCACACATAAAATACACATAATACAACGTTTGCATTTAAAAATCACCTAAGTTAACAGTCCCAAAAGGTGAAGCCGGTTGTGATTGAGATTTTGAAGATGATTGCGATTTTCAGAATGTCGTTGCGAAAGTCAGAATCGCGTTGCGATTTTGTATTATCGCGTTGCGATAGTCAGTATCGCATTGCGATTTTCCAAATTCGCATTGAGATTTACTTATTTGCATTGCGAATTGGGAAAATCGCAACGCGAAATTGTAAAATCACATTGCGATAGTCATAATCGCGTTGCGAATCTGGAAACTGATTTGCGATGATGGAGATCGCGTTGCGAATTAGCGATCGCATTGCGATTTTGTTGGTCATTTTGGCAAATCCGGAAAAAGTTAGTTAAAATCGTATATTATATGAGATTTTTGGTCACTGAGGTTATTTTCTCTTTTAAAATTGAGTAAATCAACCTTCTTGAAAGAGAGTAATTTATTCAATATACATCTGAGAGTGAATAAATAAGAATGTTTAGTTCTTTTACGTTAGTACATAATACGTGACCAACTGCGATTATTATTTTAAAATATAAAATAATATATATATATATATATATATAATTTTATAATATTATTCATAATTTTGAAAATTTTAATTAAAGTTTTAATATTTTTGTATGATTCTTGTATATTACTTCTAATAAACTTTAAACGCCATAGTTCATAAACAGAAGTTCTGACTAGACTTTTGAGGAATTTTTAGGCTTCATATTTTGTATAAGTTGTCATTTTATATTTTCTTTAGATTTATGTACTTACCATGCAATAACCATTGGAGTACTTGAGGGCCGGAGTTGTAGACAAAAGATTTTGGGTTTATTCTCAAATTTTCTTTGTTATCTAAGATTGGGTGGAAGAGACCCTTGTGTAGATTCCTGGATTTGATGAGTTGAACTGTGAATTTTGGATTTTTCAATTAAAACTACGCAATTAGATTTAGTGATTGATTTTCTCACACCAGAAGAGTTTATGCGAATTCTCACTTGATGTCCACGGCAGTTATGTAGATAGCCAGGCAGCGTACACATAAGGTTCCACAATGGACCTGCCCAATATGTCATAAGCAATTAATCCCAATTCCATCTAATCCGATTTAACTGCTAATAATGACCTTATTGAAGCTGGTGAAAAAAGAGAGACTTATTTCCAAAGCATCGGTTGCTTACAAGTAAAACAAAATGAAATAAAGATGGGCACCATAGTTTTGTTACCAATCAACACAAATCCGCCGTAGCCTTACTGACTATCGGGATTATGTTTAAAAGAACCACCGGATCCAAAAAGGTTCGGATACAAGTATTCATCATTCATCGAAGGCCATCTCTGCGGATGTTGCTCTTGTTCAATAGCATCATCTCTGGAAACCTGTGAATCCGAACCTACTTTTAACTGGCTCACTGAAGGAAGATCCCTGGCTCTGATCCTTTGTCCGGAGAATATAAACCATCACCGTGATGGCTAAAGGAGTTCAGATTATCAAAATTGGGTTTCCCTTGCTAGCTGGTTGATGAGGAACATTTGTATGAAGGTGGTTCTCGGATCTATCCTCACTGGCTTGGCCATTATTTTTCTGCTTAAGTTCGGAAATTCTGATTTGTGCAAGAGTAGCTGCTGCGCGAGCTGCAGCTGCTGCACGCTCAGCACTTTCAGCAGCTGACTGAGCAGCAGCTAAAACATCCTCTAGATCGAAGTTGGTCTCACTTTCTGGTTCTAAAATAGCAGGTGTTGGATCGCTTGGTCTTGAAGGAATCGATGAAGCAGATACTGATGGAGGAGAAATGAATGGCAGAAACTGTTTATTTTCTTTGGATGCAGCCGGATCATCGGGCATTTCACTTTCTTTAGTTGTATTTTCTTGCATCAATATCTCGGGCTCCAAAGGGAGCATTTGTAGCACATGACCAGAAGCTCTAGCATGTCTATGCGAATGATCAATGTCGAGTTCAGGAGCAGCTGATGAAGGTGGGTTAGTTACCGGTGCTGATGCAGCATTAGTGCTTGGATGCAGTGACACATTTGGGACTTCAGGAAAATCTACCAGGTCAAAGTCTGAATCAGAATCAGGCTGCTCGGTTTGGGCATGATCAGCGGAAGAAGCCGATGTTTCACCATGCTTCTCCGCCGGAAGGGGTAACTTGGATTCAGTCACAAACTGTGTTGGGCCATTCTAACAAACAAAATAGGCATTAATGATATAGGAACAGAGAAGAGAACCCAGTCCAAATTTTACTTACCAATAAATCTTCATGTGATTTGAAAAACTCAGACTCGGTAGAAGTTGGATCCCAATCCAACTCATGCTCTTCAGCAATTTCTTTCAAAATCTTCAATTTTACTTCAGGTGAAGGAGCACGTATAGATAACAATTCTATCAACTGCATTTAGGAGGATGTCAATTGGAAGAATAAAAAATACAAAAATGAAAATACATTACGAACCTTCATACTTCCAGTACCTGACGATTAACACCACAATCTGGCCTCAGCTCAGTTGCAGCTAATACAAATTCCTTCCCGTACTTGGAAGTAAATAGCATTTGAACCTGCATCAACTCTGTTAGATCGGCACATCTTGGTGCAGCAAAACAAACGCTACTTATCGCTTCCTTCAAATCTAAAGGACATTCCCTGCAAAAGGATGATTTTCAACTTATCATTCTAATGCAGTGTGTTTTTAAATTATTTATTTAGTTTGAGCAACTTAAAAAACTTATCAACTTCCTCTGTGAGGATATAAGAGATCCAGATTAAACAAAAATACATTCATCACAGCAACAAAGTCATCTAAAAAATGTGGAGAAATTGACAGAATTGCATCGACAGGAGGGAAAATGCATTTAGTGAAGAACATCATGTGTACCTTCTACAATATTTAGGTGATATGTGCTGTTTATAACCTAGGCAAAGATTGACCTACCTTCAAAAAGGTGCTAATGCTTCATGTATGAAATTACCAAAGGCATCAATATCGGCACAGCAATGCATAGGAGAAAGGTATTCTGAGAAGTATACTATTATATAAAAATACTAAACACTCAATGAAACCATATTGAAGATGACATTACATCAGTTCTTCAACTCCTACATAATGAAAACATATAAAACATAAAGATATAATCTTCAATCTAAAGAATTAGGTCAAACTACATTTCCACTCAACTACCAAAGCCTTTCTACAAATATTTGGCCCCATCCTTCAACCTAAAGCTAATATCCCCTACATTGCAAAATTCACCCTACCAAGCTGGTTCAGACCCCAAGCAATTGAGTCAAATTCAAAATTATTAATAAATAAAAAGATAAGATTCTAAATGGTTCAAGCAAATAACCTTTGAATCTCTATGATAGGAAGCCGGACAGCAATAAGCTCGCAAAACAGCTCGAGGATCTCCTGAGCAGCTATCATGTTTTCTTCCCTTATTATATGCTCCACCTGAAATATAAACCCCAAGCAGTGCTTCATATGAAACTATCAACTCATTTTCAAGGCAGCACTCGAATAAATTGCAATACCTTTTAATAACAGCAAATTCAGAATGTACCCAAAAAATTAAATCACTTCACTAAATAATAAAAACATCATACTTAGATTATCAACTACAGATATATGCACTTCAGTAAATAATAAAATTTAAAATAAAAATATAGTTAAAGAAATCTGATTAATGAAGAAGAAATAACATACTCGAATTCGAGCAGTAGCTTCTTGGCCAGTCTCAAGCAGCTTAGCAATTTCGCGGCGCATCTGTTTATCTGAATCTCTCTCCTGTTCCTCAATAACCTTATCCGCGGAATTGTTAACTTCAGTAAAGTTTTGCTGCGTATTCCACCCAAACAAAAGGGATCAAAATTGAAACAAATTAAGCTAAATATTCAAAATTGATCGGACTAATAGTTATGAAAAGGTAAAAATAAATAATTCATCAAACAAGATTAAGCAGAAAAATCGATGAATTGAAGATTAAAGGTAGACATGAAAATGATTATAATAAGAAATGAAACTGAGGGGGGAAATACCATTTAGCAGCTTTGAAGCCTTTGTTGAAGAAGGAATCGAGCATAGCCATGATGGTAAGACCAGATCGCAGGAAAAAAAATGAAAATGAATAGGACGGTTTAAAGGGTTTGGTATTTATGGACGGCTGGAAGAAGAGGAAATCAATTATTATTTAAAAATTTTAATTAACATAACGAATTTCAATTTCATCTATTTCAAGTTGTTATTCTAATATAATTTTAATTAATAAATTTTTTATTAATATAAAATAAGTACAAAAGTATATTATTAAAGATAATTTTAAATAATTTGATATTAAATATTTATATTTTTTAATATTTGAATTCAAAATTTAAAAGACTAACGATAATTTATTTATTACTAAGATTACTCGTATTAATAGATGAATGGATAAACAGTAATAGATGATCTAATCGGATTAGAAGAGGAAAAATATTTACAATTATTTGTTGTTTACGAGTAGAAGACGCGTGGTCCAGTCGACGTTGTTGCAATTTGCAAAGCAGATTGCTTATGTACCAAGTCATTTTGTTTTAACGCTTTTAATAAATAAATAAATAGATGTCAGCCGCGCATATTGAACCGGCCGGAACTCTGCATTTCGCGTCAGGATGGGGACACCAAATGCTAACAGATATCAATTTATTTTTTAAATCATTCGAAATCTCATTATATTACCGAATTATTATTTTTTGTGCTCATACTGAATTACTATTATTTATCAATGATTGTTAATTTAATTAATAATTTTTTCCATAACTGATCTAATTCAATCCGGTTATAAAATCTGCTAAGTGGTTATCTTCATGTAGTACGTGCGTCACTTTCAACTTCAACTCACGTCAGTTTTATTGTATGATAATCTTAATATATAATTAAGATAATATAATATCGAAAATGTTAATGTTTTTTTAATATTTTTCGTTAAGTCTTATAAAATATTATTTTTTTTTATCGAAAATGTAATTTTGCTATCTAATTTTCAATAAAAAATAACGTTTTAAGTAGCGTCTAATATTAATATTTTCAGTAGAAAAAATAATGTTTTAAGTAACATTTTACTAAAAATATTAAAAAAAATTAATATTTTCGATAACGTCTTTCTTTAACAGTATATCATGACCGCCTTATCTTAGTGAGATGGTGTCTCAGTGTTAACTCTAATCTCATGCGTCCTTTAATTTTAAATTAATCGCCAATCCTCACCTTCCTTTTCCAACACAAAATCATCATATACAATTAATTACAAACAATTATGACATTCAAACTCAATTAATTAGTATTAGGGGCAGTCCAATACAGTAGACAGACTAATTATTTAGTTCAATACGGTAAAAATAATTTATTAGTGATCTACAACATTTCTTATAATAACTTAGAATTCGTTACGTTGATCTGACGAGTTTTAATAAAAAATAATTTTTTTTATTTAAATTTTTTATCTTGTGATAAAATTTAATAAAAAATATATTTTATTGGAGTTTGGCATTTCGACGTAACGAGTTTGAATAAAAAATATTATTTAGACATACTCGTCGAGGATCTCGATGTGATGAGTTCCTTAAACACTCTAACAAATTTTATAGATCTCAAGATAAACTTTTATATACTTTATTGTACTAATTAATAAAATTGTTTGTACTATTAAGAAAGAAACCCGTATTTTTCTACTGTTTTTAGGGCATTTTTCTCGAAAAATCATATTTTTAATTTAATATTCCCGATTAGGTACCGGTCATATTATTTTTCGATCTAACACCCTTTGCAGTAAGGCGCGCCCCCTGCAGCGCTCTATACGTTGATTTGGCGCCACGTGGGGTAAGGCGCGCCCCTGCGGCGCGTCTTATGCTGACATGGATACACGTGTGTATGGCGCGGGGCATGTTGTTAATTAAGGGTATAGCGCGGGGCAGGGAAGGCGCGGCCCTTGCCCCGCGCTATACCCTTAATTACCAACCTACCCTCGCCCGTTCAAACCCATCCCTCTCTATAAATACCCTCATTCTCAATCACTTTCATCACATCAAATCCTCTCAACTTCTCAAATACTCTTATATTCTCTTATTAAGGTATATTTTATTATATTTAGTATTTTTTAGTAATTTATTTAATTATTATAATTGTTTAATATTTTATTTAATTACTTTTTTTTGCAGATATAAAATGGAAGGCGGTCTACTTTGGTTGGATGGAAATCATATATCTCGACACTTTCCTGATACGGTAACATTTTTACGTTTTAATTTAATTAATTAATTTAATGCATGATTTTTAGTTTAAAAATTAATTTGTGTAATTATTTATATTTTAGGAGAGAGATCGTATATTAGATCCTTTTATTAGGAACCTTAAGTTAGTTATACCTACTCGTGTAATGTCGTATTTAGTAGAGGCTGGATTCGGTCACCTAGGTAGATATCAGGGTCGCTGTAAGATAGAACCAGACCTTATTTCTGCCTTAGTGGAGCGGTGGAGGCCGGAGACCCACACATTCCATCTTCCGTGCGGAGAGTTCACGATCATGCTTGAGGATGTTTCTATGCACCTGGGGCTTTCGGTGGATGGAGGTGTGATATCAGGGATAACTTCAGTTCTTGGACTACTTTGTGTCGGGTTAGTCTAGGACGTGTCCCGAAAAATTTTAACGGTGGACAGATACCGTTAAATTGGTTAGATGCCAATTTTCGGGAGTTGAGCGAGGACGCGTCTGACGATGAAGTTAAACAGTATGCATGTGCATGCATACTGCAGCTGATAGAAGAGTTGTTGATGCCGGACAAATCGCGCAACCAAGTTCACTGTATGTGGTAGCAACATCTTGGCGATTTTCATCTGGCCAAATCACTCAGTTGGGGCTCGACAGTTTGGCTTGCCTGTACAGGGAGATGTGTCGAGTCATTGACAACAGGCATAATGCTATCGGCGGATGTCTTCTGCTGCTGCAGTCTTGGGCATGGTATCGATTGCCCTTTTTATGTCCCGTTATCAAGAACTCATTCGTATTTCTTCTACTCCTGAGGTAATTATAAAATTGATTTTGTATATTAATAATTTTATACAGTGAATAAGAAATTATTTTTCTTGAATATGTGATCTACTAATAGGAAAAATCATCAGGAGCTACCTAATGATTTAGAAAAAATTAGGGTGTTAATCGATCAGAAGGCTGGCACACATATATGAATTTTAATGTTTAAAAATCGATTTTAGATTATAGTTATATAATTAGATTATTATTTTGATAAAAATTATATATATTTGTTTTAGTTTGAATGGGTGTCATATTCTACTGATGATGTGAGGGCGGTGATCCCACATGAGTTGAGGGGTCCATCAGATGTTTGGATGGCGATAGTCCCTTTGATATGTTATGCGACCGTCGAGTGGCACTCCACTGATCGCGTGCTCCGGCAATTTGGTTGTTTTCAACCAATTCCGGAAGTACCTCGCAATATGGACGAGTTGCATAGCATAGATAGACGCGGCAAGACAGATACAGATTGGCTGGTGAGGCATCATGTGTGGGTCGTGTTGTGGGAGGATCGACATCGGCGCCTTCCCCGTAGAGAGCCCATTTTACTTGACCTCTTGATGGTTGCTAACGGTTATTACGAGTGGTTCAACAGTAACGGGAAACCGTTTCTGCTTCCCGAGGATACACGAGGGCAGACTTTTTCGCGACGTCGACAGAGACGTTAATCGACACAGCACCATCGTCTCCCGGCTCATGAACGGAGAGTAGGTGCTTCTGGTTCATCCTTAGCTGCACCAGCAGGACCTTCACAGTAGCCACCGGCTTACATACTGCAACCATATATGATGCTACCACCGCTTTTCCATTACCAGATGCCGTCACCGCCTTCACTTGGTTTTATGACCCCGCCGCCGCCACCGTCACAGAGTTATATGACCCATCCTAGAGGCTATTATGGGTTTATGTTTGCAGATCCGACTTGGGGTTCATATGCTCACATTTTAACGGGTTCAGCCTCGTCACCCATGACCGCAGCACAGACACCTCATGTACAGTTTTCACACTCAGCGATGTCTTAGTTTTATGAGTTTTCCTAGTGTTCGCAGGACGGTCGGATATTCAGTCATACACCTCGAGGGTCCTTATTCTATGGAGGTGCTTCATCGTCATCAGCTCCTCATCAACAAAATGTTGTGCTCAGGACAACGACGACGACAACGATGGTGATGATGACGACAGCGAGGAGTCACAACCAGTGATACAAAGAAATCCTCCTCGAGACCGACAGCCACCGCCATGCGGAACACATTTTGCGTCGCAGGCATCGATAGATTTTGTTTTTTTATACTTGTATTTAGTACTTTTTTATTGTAGTTGTTTATTGGACTTTTTTATTGTAATATAAGTTATTGTAATTTGGTTATCATTTATCATTTAATACGTATTGTATCGTTAATATCAATTATTCGTTAATATAACGCCAACGTCTAATCTCATATAATTGTATCATTTTTTTAATCTTCATCGGCGGTTATCGAATAATATTAACTTGAAGTAAATGCAAAGTAAAGTACAAGAATTATTATTTGATAAACAACTACATCATTTCCTCATCAATTGTTACTTGATGACAACAGAAGTGGACATGTTTTTTCTAGTGTGTCCTGGGTTTCTATAATGGCCACATCTTTTGTCTTATCTAGATCTTTCTCGAATATCCATATCTCAATGAATTCGATTGGATTTTGGACGACCACGCTCCCTCAATAAAATCAGATTTGGTACAATCGAAAGCCAATCTTGAACCTCATCAGGGTCTTTGTCATTACCTATAGGGGGAAACTCAAATTCGTATACCTTAAAAACTTCATATAGTAGGTATACGAGATCCACAAAACGGTTATAGTCTTGACGTGTATGCGAGCAAGTTGCTATCACATGAGAGCATGGATACTTCAGAGCTTGAAAAAACCCGCAGTTGCACGTTTTGTCCCTTAGATTTACTCTTAATGACACAACTTCAATCCCTTGAAGAGGTTGCGACAACTCTGTGACACGAAACATTTCATGACTTCTAGAGAAGCTTGTTACAGACATTCCATTTGATGCAACAATTTTTTTCTGTATATCTGCAACTAATCTAGGGTGATAGATATGACCGCCTTGCATCCAGGTTTCAGCTTGTCCCCCGAGCTTCGCAAAAAGCACCCCAAACGAAA